CAGTTGGCTTGTTTCTTGTCTGACTGCCCCACTAGGAGCTCCCTGAGGAAGGAGCCCAGTCTGTCTTGTTCCCACGCAGGAGCTGGGGCAGAGCAAAATAATGTCAGTATATCCCCCCCCAGGCCTCAGTTTCCCCATCTGTAACATGGGCAGGTTAGACTAGAGTCATTCAGCCAGTGGATGTGCATTTAGTGAGCACCGACTGTGTTCTAGGCACTGGTGCTGAGCATACAGTGACAGAAATGGCCCTGATTCTGGCCCCGAGAAGCTGACAGTCTAGGGACACGTGTAAATAGGCCGTTACAGCCCCATGTGCTCAGCGCTCTGAGCGGGGAGCTCGGGGGTGCAGGAGGGTAGAGGAGGCTGCTGATCTCCCTCCCCAGAGGCTGGGGTTCAGGGAGGGCTTCCTGGAGGTGGTGATGCCTGAGCTACAAGATGTGCAGGGGGGAGTCAGGTGAGGGGGAGCCTGGAGGACGGTGCTTCAGGTGGAGGGAACAGCCTGGGCAGAGGTGTGGCAGATCTGTCTCACTCATAGCGCTCTCTGTGCCCCACACAGATCCTGGCACTTGCAAGTGCGCCCCACTAGGTGCTGGGGAGTAAGTGAACATCTCTAGTTTACAGATGGGGAAACTGAGGCCCAGGGAGGTTCACAGCACGCCTCAAGCTCTGGCCTGCCTGGGTGAGGCCCCCTCCGCCTCCTGGGAGTGCCCGTCGGGAGGCTGCCCCCGGGTGTCCCTCTGAAGGCCCGGCTGTGCTGTGGTGGGGCCAGAGCCCAGGCCTCTCCAGCCACATCAAAGCCTGGGATATTTTTGCCCAGAGGGCAGACCCTGGTGGCCTCAGAGGCTGTGTAATTAGAAGTGGCTCTGAGCCCACGAGAGGCTGGAGTGGGGGCTGCGGTGGGCCAGGCGGCCGCCCCAGGCTCAACAGGGGAGGACCCTGGCAGAGGCTCAAGGGTGGTCGGTTCTCCCTCCCCTCCCTGCCTCCTCGGCTGAGGCTGCTCAGCAGGGCGGGGGGCACGGCTGCTAATTGCACGGTGGGCACAGGGTGGGGTCTCTGAATCGCTCCAAGGCTGAGCAGAGGGCCCGTTGCTCTCTGCCTCTGAAATTACAGGTTGCAAGCGAGTGGCTCAGCCTGCTCTGTGCCACAGGCCTGCCTGTGCCCCTTGGAGCCACGGCGGTGAGGGCCGTGGGGATCATCCGGGCCCGGCCCCACAGCAGGTCCTGGAACTGGAGAATGTGGAATGTGAGACGCTCGGGACAGACAAGGAGTGGCTGGAGCAAACTGTCAGAGCAGTAGGTTGGCAACAGCTGGGAATGCAAGAGTAGAGGTCAGAGTGGTCATTCACACATCTACAAGCATTTATTGAGCACCTACTGTATTCCAGGCACCGTCTTAGGTGCTGGAGTTATGGCAGTGCACAAAATAGGCCCAATTCCTGGTCCCCGCAGACCCGCATCTACTCTTATTCAATAGAAATCTTCAGGAACTGCTCTGAGGGTGCCGGGTTCCTGTAGACCTCAGAGCCTTTGCACGTGCTCTTCTCACTGCTGGGAATCTTCTTGCATCCTTGCCTTCCTAAATACTGCCTCATCATCTTCACAAGAAGCTCTATTATCACCTCCTCATGGAGGCCCCCATGAGCTCTGGGACCAGACTAGCCACACTCCCAACTAGCCACCCACAGTCCCTGAACTACCCCATCCCAACCCTTAGCCCAGTTTGCAGTTAGATATTCATTTGTTTGTTTACTTGCTCATTGCAGGTCTCCCCTCCACTCTGTAAGCTCCGGGCCTGTGTTTGCTCATCACTGTCTCCCAAGGCCTGACACGGGCTAGTGCTCAAGCAATAGTTGTAGAATGAATGAAATTTAGAAGGTGAGAGCATTGGGACCTTAGTGCTGGCAGGCTTGTGGCTGACACCTAGTCCAACCCCACATTTAGCTGCAGCCCAGAGAGGGGCAGTGACTTGCCCAGCCACCCACAGTGGATGCGTGAGCCGGGCTGGAACTCAGAGATCCTTTTTTCTCTCGTCGTGACTGACATTTCTGTGGATCTGTCCTCAGATTGTGGGTTGGGCTGTTTGGCTTACGGAGAGCCTGTGTGTCTTTGTGTGTGCGTGTGTGTTGACGTGACCCTTTATCAGGGCAGATGGAGGTAGTACTGGGGAATGAGCCCCTTGTAGGGGGGCACTAGCCTGGCGGTTTCATTTCCAGACAAGACCTAGGGGCTGGTCAAGGAGAAAGGGCTCTGGTCCCCGACATGCTGCTGGATCCTGGGTGGGTCACGCTGCCGTGAGCCTCAGTTTCCACATCTGTCAGATGAGCTTCCCTTATTCCTTCCCCTTTCCCCAAGCATGTGTGGAGCCTGCTGGGTTTGAGGCACACCGGGGGGCTCTAGGGGGCAGGAAAACCCAGCGCTTTGGAGGGTGGACGACTCCAGCTCCACAGGGACCAAGTAATAAGATTCAACCTCGGGGTGGGAGACAGAGTCACGCCCCTCCCCGAAAGACATGCCCGTCCTCGTCCCTGGAACCTGTGACTATGCACATGTCACCCTACCTGGCAAACAGGATTTGAAGAGATGATTAAGTCAAGGGTCTTAGATGGGGACATGATCCTGGATTATCGGGGGGGGCCCAGGGTCATCATCAAAGTCCTTAATAGTGGAAGAGTGATTTGACGAGGGAACCAGAGAGGCGGTGGCATGAGAGGGACTCAGCCCCCGGCTGTGGAGACGGAGGAAGAGACCTACAGGCCAAGGAATGCAACCTGCTAGAAGCTTGAAAAGGCGAAGACACAGACTCTCCCCGCTGAAGACTCCAGGACGAACGCAGCCCTGCCGGCCCCTGATTTTAGCCCAGGGAGACCCCTTTCTGCCCTCCGGCCGCCCGGACTCTAAGATAACAAACACGTGTTGTTTTAAGCCTCTAAGTTCGCGGTGGCTTGTTACAGCAGCGACAGGGAACTCATACGCTTGGCGTCTGGCCGGAGCTGTTCCATTGCGAGCACGTTCCTGGCCTCTGCTCCTCGGATTCTTCCCTGCAGCCTTGTGGGCGGGAGGGGATGTATCCTCATTTTCCAGACACGAAACAGAGGCTCCGAGTGGGGCAGGGCACGGTGGAGGCGGGATTTGAACCCAGGTCTGTCTGCAGGAGGAGCACAGAACGGGACCCCGACTTAGGCTGGGGCCTCGGGGCGCCGTGCTAGGAGCCGGCCTGCTGGGGTCGGTTGTGTCCTGCCCCCCGATGTCTCAGGGTCCAGTTGCCTGCAGCCCTCCTGCCCGCCTGCCGTCTGGTCTAAGGCAGCGCAGAGGGGGCTGGGACGCCCCCTGGCCATCTTGAAGGGGGGTGCAGCTGCTACCACACATCTGTGGGTGGCCGTGTGCCCCTGGGGGCGTGTGTGTGTGTGTGTGTGTGTGTGTGTGTTTGTGTGTGTGTCCATTGGTGGACGGTCCCCACTCCCTCTAGGATGCAGGGTTTGGGGTGATGTCAAGAGAAGATGGAAAATTCTCTGGTTTTATTTTCCCAACAAACAACTGCCCCCTTTTTTGGGAGGTGAGCAGGGCCTGCAGGGACCATCATAAGGAGTAATGCTAATCTGAAGTCCTGGTGCCTAGAGGGTGGGCACGAATTATTGATTCAGGAACTCCCTCTCTCCCAAACCTTCTTTGGCTCCCTACTGCCTCCCGGATGGATGGTGTTCTGAGACTTTGGCGGCTCCTGCTGATTCAGCCCTCATTACCCGCTTCTCCCTTTTGTCCGCCTCACGCTCTGGTGCCTTGTCTGTGTGTGGCGCCCCAGCCACTATGCCTTTGCCCAGGCTCGTCTTCCCACCCGGAATGCCTTTCCAGGGTCTCCTCTTGCTCAGACTCTGCCTGTTCATAGCCACGTCCTCTAGGACGACTTCCCTGCCTCTTTCCCTCAGTGGACCTCTCTCCGTGCTGGGGTTCCCCGAGCCCTTGGCCTGGCTTCTCTCCTGCCACAGACCAATTTCTGTTTTGAAAAAAGTAATTTACACGTGTGTCCTTCTCCCTGGAAGCCTGCGAGCTCCTGAGGGCTGGGCTGTGTCTAAGGCACCTCTGAAACCTGCTTAGCACAGCGCCTGTGCACTACAGGAGTTCATTAATCATTTGCTGAACGAATGAATGAGTGCATGAATGAACGAATGAATGCAAAGGGCTGCTGACCCCCCGGATTCCTCAGGTCAGCAGGAGGTCCCGGTTCCAGGGCCAGCTACTGACTTATCTCAAGTCCCCGGTTGAGCCCTTGAATTTGCCCTGCCTCGCTTTCCCTGTCTGTGAAATGGGGCCGCGACTCCGGTGCTAGACGCTCCATTTGGGGTATCGGGAGGCCGTGGATCTTAGACTGTCAGAGCCAGAGGGAGCCCACAAAGCTTTCTGCCCCCTCTGCAAATGGGGAAACCGAGGCCTGGAGGAGGGCAGGGCCTGACCAGACAGGGCCAGAGAGCGGGTGGAGAGCTCGCTCCCTGCCACAGGCCTGGACCCCCCCATGGGGCCTGGACTCCTGTTTTCCCTTCCACACGCCCCGGCTCCCACTCTGCACCCCGAGCCTCGGAAAACCTGCGTCACAGCTGGGACGGAGGACGGGGAATTTTCCTCCTCATTTCCAAGGGCCTCTGAACCTCCCTGACCTCATCCCCTTTGGACAGGGGGGCCAGACCCCAGCTCGCTGGTCTGGGGGAGCACTGCGGGACAGCCCTGTCCGTCTGTCTGTCTGCCTCAGCCTGCGTGGGGACCCGCGCTCGGGGAGAAAATGCCCCATCTGGTCTCCCCCGGAGTGTGGAGGGGGCCCCAGGCAGCGGGAGCGGGGCAGGGGGGGATTGTGTGTGGCCGAGCGCAGCCCCGCCTCTGCCCTGTCCCCACCCCAAACCCTCCTAATGAAATCAAGCTGGCCCGGCCGGGAGGGAGGGAGGGAGCAGGCAGGAGGGGGAGGAGGGCGCAGCCGGCGTCAGCCCAGAGCCACGGCCACCGCCACCACCACCGCCTCTCTCTCGCTCCACCTGGAGGGAGTGCCCAGTCTGTGTGCGGAGGAGCTGGTGAGTCCGGGGCCCCCTCCTCTGTCCCGGGAGCCTCTTGGAGTTTGGGGACTGGGGCCGGTGTGAGTGCTTTGTGGGGCGTCTCTAAGCTCGTGTGAGTTTTGAGTGTGTGTTGGATGCTGTGTACGTGTGTGTGATGTGTGCTAAGGGAGAGGGTGGCAGAATGTGCGTGCGCCTTCTGTGCGCCCCGTGTGTGGGGCTGGGGTGGCCGGAGCGTGGTGTGTGTGCGGTCGTGGCTTGCTGTGGGGATGTGTTGTTCTTGGAAAGTGGTCGCTCCCAGGCTCAGCCGGAGGGTGGTGTGGACGGGGTTGTCCCCTCCGTGGGGCTCGACAGCGTGTCAGGGGCTGTGTATATGCACACGTTGTCAGAGAATCAGCCTGTTGTGTGTCTGTGTGTGTTATCTATCTGTGTTAGTGGGCCGTGTGAGCTCTCTGCGGTGTCTGCGTGTTGTGTGTCTGTGCTGTGTGTCTGTATGTTGTGTGTCCATGCTGCTGCTGCTCTGTGTGTGTGTGTGTGGATTTGAGCCCTCAGGACCCCCAGTCCCTCCCAGGGCCCTCCTCCAAGGGAACTGGGTCCCTGTCCTCGGCTGCCCTGGGCCAGGGGGGTGCAGCGCCTCAGCCAGACCCCGCTCCCCCAAAGGCCACTAATCAAAGCCAGGTTTTTGTGGGCCGCCCCTCCCCCTCTGGCCACCAGTCTCTGGGTAGGGGTGGGGGAGCTGCTCTGGCCCCTCAGCCTCGGTCTTGGGGTCCCTAGGCCTTAGGGGTGGCTTTGCATCGTCTGCATATTCCTGACTTCAAATGGAGCGATCACATTTAAAACAATAAACCCCGAGTGAGATGGGCTCTAAAGGGAGGCGCTGCTCCAAGCGGGGGTCCCAGACAGTCATGTGATGCCCACTAATTGACACCTACTGTGTGCCAGGCACTGCTATTTCTCTCCTAACAATAGTCCAGGGAGGTGGCCCTTATCCCCAATGTACAGATGTGGAAACTGAGGCTCAGAGAGGTCGTTTGTCCGGCCTCAGGACACACAGCGGGAAGTGACCTCGTCTGGGGTATTCTGAGCCGCCTCTCCATTCAGGGCTCCGTCCCGACTGGCTAGGCGACCCTGGACAGTCCTTTCCCAGTCTCGGACCTCAGTTTCCTCTTGGGTAGAATGAGAGGGGTTGGCCTGATCCAGCTCCTCATGGCCTGTGAGTTTCTGAGTCCTGGAAAACATCAGGACCCGGGAAGGAGGTGGGGGCAGCTGATGCACAGAACGATCGTTCAGTGCTGTCCAGGCTGGTGCTCCCATTCCACAGATGGGAAATTGAGGCCCCAAGAGGCCGGGGGCTTGTCACGCAGGGTCACACAGCCATCTCCTGCAAGGCCTCGCAGGCTCCCCACTCTTTGCCTGTGCCTTTCCCGGGGGGCTGTGGGGGAGCGGGGACTCTGAGAGTCGGGGGTCTCATCCTTTAAGAGCCAACAATAGTTAGTGCAGCCTCTTTCCTTATCCTCTGCCCTGGACCCCAAGGCCCAGGGGGAAGGGAGCTCTTCCCTCTGTCCAGCTCACTGTCACGTGCGTGCGTGTGCGTGTGCATGTGCGTGTGTGTGTGTGTGTGTGTGTATGTCTGATCCTGGATTCCTCGGTGGCCAGAGCGGAAGAGATTTCACTCAACGAGGTAGAAAAGTTGGTCTTTTTCAGGAGAGTGGGGGAGACGATGAGCAAATTTACACATCAGCGAAGATTATCATTTGTCGACTTGGGTGGGAAAGTGTTGGCTGATCCCCCTGGAGCTCAGCTGGGGTAGAAATTCGGTCCTGAATTCCGCCTTTCCTCGGCGAGCAACTACTCTGTGCCAGGCTCTCTCTGAATGGTATCTCATCTGTCCTAATAGCCCCGTGAGGCCGGACCTGTGGCCAGCTCCCTACCCTGCCCCCAATTTACAGATGGGGAAAGTGAGGCCCAGAGGGCTCGAAGATCAAAGCTGTCTAGGGAACCTTTGCTAACAAGGGCCAGAGACGGGAGGGGCCGGGAAGGCTCCTGAAGTTCACGGAGCGGAGTGTCTCAGATCCTTGTTCCAGCTGATGAGTGATGTCAGCCAGGGGGTGTGAACCCACTCCTGGGCCAGCCCTGGGCATGCGAGAGAGAGTGTGTGTGTGTGTGTGTGTGTGTGTGTATGTATGTGTGTGTGTGTGGACTATCGGAGTCATACAGAAGAAGGTTCAAATCCTGGCTCTGACACTGCCCGTCTGTGTGTCCTTGGGCAAGTCACTGTCCGGCTCTGAACCTCCATTTCCTCATCTGAGAAATGGAGACGGTGAGGGGGCCCGCCCCGAGGGCTTCTATGGGATTGCATCCACACCAAGGGCTTAGACGAGGAACCACGGTGCAAGTTCTGAGTGACCAGCTCGTTTAAGATGAGCCCGTGAAAAGAGCTGCTTCTTTTTACGGCCTGGAATTATTTTTTATTTTTTGCCGTCTGAGTCAGTTTGTCCAAATTCATGTCAGTGCAATTCATTTCGATTAATGACACTTAGTTGGGAGGCCCCAGGTCACTTGGAGCAAGCCACGCAGTGGCCCAGCGTCATTCCTGGCTCATTTCCTGAATCCCCAAGTCACCGTGAGGTTGGTACTGTCACCCATTTTACGGAGCAGGGCTTGAGGCCTGGGCACTCGAGGGGGCCTGCAGGCAAGGTGTTGGGGACCTGACTTCCTCCTCCAGCCCAGAAACTTGCTGTGTGGCCTTGGGCCCGCCCCTTGCCTTCTCTGAGCCTCTGTCCACCATCTCACGTCCCGAGAGAGGGAGGGCCTCAGACAGGAGATCCCAAGGCTTTTCCATCTTAGAGCTTCAGGCACCCCCAGTGTCAGGGTCCGGGGCCCTCTGCTGGTCAGGACGGGAGTCTTGGGGGCGGCCTGGGGGGCACAAAGGGGTCCTGGGTTTGTCTGAGCGCCCAGCCCCACTCAGGCCCGCTGGGAGCATTAGGTTTTCAGAAGCTGGGCTCCCCTGTAAACCTGGGCCATGAGGAATTCATTAGTCGGCCGGGCCGTCTGGGCCCGGGTCTGGGGGTTCACGCGGGAGCAGCCTTCCGATGGGGGAGGGAGGTGAGGGTTCATCTGGTTCCCATTTAGCCGTGGCCGTGGGATCCGGCTTCAGCAGGCTCCAGCTTGGCCTCAGGCACGAGAGCTTTCCCCGGGGCCTCGGGGCCCTGCTCTGAGCCGGGAGGTGACGCGCGGCAGCCGCTCTCGGCCTGCTCCCGGCACGCAGGCCCTCTGCTGAGCTCGGGGAGTCCGGAAGCTTCAAACCCTCGGCGTCTTCTGGAGGCGAGAAGGGAACCGCGGAGAGGCTGGGGCTGCTGGGGAGGGCTCCTCAGAGGAGGGGGTCATCCGGCTCCCTCAGTTCCTCCCTCAGTTTCTCACTTACCCTACCATCATCTCCCGCTTCGTGCCTGGATCCAAACCCCAGCTCTTCCTTGGCAAGTCACTTAGCCACTCTGAGCCTCAGTTTCCACACCCGGAAAATGGGGATAATGATAGCACTTCCCGCATCGGGTGGTTCTCAGGATTCAGCGAGAAATTCCAGAAACTTAAAATAGTACCTGGCACATGGCAAGCAATGAAAAGGTAAGTTATTATTATTAATTCAGCCAACTATCCACATTTATGGAGCACTTACTGTATACCAGATAGGGTGCAAAACCCCGAGGATGCCGAGATAACTCAGATTCAGCCTCTGCCCTCTAGGACCTCAGAGTGAAGTGGGGGGGAGTGTGAACCCCACTTACGAAGGAATGGGGTCCGTAGTACAGCGGGGAGGCTCAGGACCAGGGAAGGGAAGTAACTTGCTAGAATATGTTCCGTGTTCCCTGCACCTCCTCGGGGTCCCCGAGACCTGGAGCCCCAGCCTGACCTCTCTCCCGCCTTGCTTCCCCACAGGTCCCGGGCGACATGGTTTCTGCGGTGGCCCCCAGCGTCGCCGTCTCTCTGCTGCTGCTCCTGAGGGCCCTGCCCGTGGCGGCCCACTCTGTGACCTTCCTGGAGGACACGGGGGGCAGCGGGGAGGCCGAGGGCTCATCGGCCTCCTCCCCGAGCCTCCCGCCGCCCCGGACCCCGGCCCTCAGCCCCACGTCGGTGGGGACCCAGCCCACGCCCCTGGCGGGCCCCAGGCCCCCCACCAACTTCCTGGACGGGATCGTGGACTTCTTCCGCCAGTACGTGATGCTCATCGCCGTGGTGGGCTCCCTGGCCTTCCTGCTCATGTTCATCGTCTGCGCCGCGCTCATCACCCGCCAGAAGCACAAGGCCTCGGCTTACTACCCGTCGTCCTTCCCCAAGAAGAAGTACGTGGACCAGAGCGACCGCGCGGGGGGCCCCCGGGCCTTCAGCGAAGTCCCCGACAGGGGCCCCGCCGGCCGGCCCGAGGAGGCCCTGGACTCCTCCCAGCAGCTGCAGGCCGACATCCTCGCCGCCACCCAGAACCTCAAGTCTCCCGCCCGGGCCGCCCCGGGCGCCGGGGACGGAGCCAGGGGGACGGAGGGCAAGTCGCAGGAGGAGAAGCGCAGCCAGGCGGGGGCCCAGGAAGCCCAGGGACGCGGGGACCCTGCGGAGAAGCCAGAGGTGCTGGAGGAGCCGTGCCCAGTGCTGGCTGACGGGGCTCTGGTGGCCGGCGAAGCCCAAGGGGAGCCAGAAGCGGCTCCCTCATCAGCCCAGGAAGCCGGGGACCCAGCTGGTCCCCCCGAAAGCTCCTGTGCTGGCAGCAGTGTCCCCCCCAGTGTCTAAGAGGCCTCCAGGGCTGCCCGCCCTGACTGTCAGACCACTATTGGTCACCTTCTTGGGCATGCAAAGGCCTTTGGTCCTTACTGCTCCCGGACACCCCCTCCTCGGCCGCCCCCGCTGCAAATCCCGGCGCGTCCTGATCCCACAGCGGGCGGAGATGCTGCTCTCCAGGCCCCCCCAGGAATCTCGCCAAGCCCCAGAAACATTTGCCTCTGCGGCCCCAAAGGGCTACATCTCACAGCTCCTCTGGGGAGGTGGGGAGGGGGACGTGCCCCCGTCTGAGCCACGATCCAGCCGCCCCCGGAAATCAGCCACGTCAACTGGGAAACACACATCGCAGGTCCCTGTGGCGGCGCAAACGTCGCCGCTTTTCCATCGAGGGAGAAAAAAAACCAAAATAACTAGTTTTGGAAGAAGTCGAATGGGAGTTGCTGACGTGGGCTGGTGCTGTTAGAGCTACCGCAGAAAGGGGCCTGATTAATCAGGAAGCTTCTGCGAGGGGCTCCTCCACGGGGCGTGACAGCTCCCTAAACGAGCGTTTCCCAAACTGGGTTCCCTGAGGTACCCTGTGGAAAAAAGATTTTTGAGGTCCAATGAGTTGGGGAAACACAGCCACTGCCTCTCTGCTCCCCATGCCCCCCTCGAGCACCCCAGGGCTCTGACAAGTCCTGCAGTGAAGGCCCCTGGGGACTCTGGTTTTGCTCAGCCTTTCTCAACTGCTTTTGACCGTGGAGTCCTTTTCTCGTTGCTTCCGGCTGCAGAGTAACAGCCTGCAGAGCGCACTCTGCAAAGTACTGCTCTAAATGTTCCCGAAGGCGCCCCGCAGTTTCTGGTTGGTCCAGCATGTGGTGTGTGGGGGTCTGGACCCTCTCCAGGGCTGCCTCTCATCTCACTATTGCTTTCTCGTCAGGACCCCAAGTAGCCTGGAAGCCGGGGGGCTGCGTGTGAGGGGACCCCGCTCTGCTGGAGTCTGGGGGATCGGGGAGGGTTTCCGACGCCCAGCCTGGAGTAGGGGGGCCTGGCCCCCTGCCCCGCACTCACACGTGTGGTCTGGCAGCCTGTGTCTACTGCATTCTTTAGTCCTCGACAGGGAGCCTGGGCTCCGTCCTGATCTGGGGGGCCTCCGGTGGGGGGTCGTCTTCCCTGTCCCTCTGTCCGGGTCCCCCAACCTCTGCACAGCTCTCCAGGTGCTGGGATATAACAGACCAGCACAATAAACCTTTATTCTGGCCTGAGTCTTGCTGGTTTTCTGCGAGGGAATGAGTCCCCTGAGAGTTGGAGTAGGGTGGGGGGCATTTCCCCTGGGTGCTCCATGGGGGTGGGGTGGCTTTCTGGGGGAGACATATCCGCCAGGCCCTGGGGCTGAATGGGCAGATCGGTGTGGAAGAAGCGGTGCCCCGTGGGAAGGGGGTGGGAGCTTGTGCCCCCCCAGGCTGAGCACCAGCTCTGGACTTGTGGCCGCACAGAGCTGGGTTCCACGCGTGGCTGTGCTACTTACTGTGGCCACAGGAGAGCCACCCTCCTCTGTGTTTACCCGAGGAGACGTGGGCAGCGGAGGGGCTCCCAGTCGAGGGCTCCGTTTCCCATCCCCCGCAGAGTGGCTGAGGACTGGAACGGGTCTCGTGGACGATGCCACGCTCACCGCACCCATGGCCTTTGTCTCCTCGCCTGCCAGGCTCCTCCTCGCCTTTGATGGCAAGTTCCTGCGGCCACCGCTCCCCCTCCTCTCTGGAGCCGCCAGCTGGAATCCAGATGTGGCTGCGCTAGGAGCATGTGCTGGCTCCCCGGGGCGATGGGGGCAGGGAGGCCGTCCCCCTGCAGGCCCTCTCCTCCAGCAGCCCCACATCCATCCGGAGGGGCCGGGGCTTGGGTTTCATAACACACAATGGCCTCTGTCTCGCTCAGCGGGGAAGGGCTCTCTCTTTCTCAGCCCAGACCAGCTCCCGCCCAAGAAGTAGGGACCGTTGAATACAAATACCAAATACCCAGATGCTGTGTGTCTCTGGCCAAGTTGCTCCACCTCTCTGGGTGTGACAGGCTCTCTCCTTGTTCCTGAGCTCCTGCAGGATCCTAGGCGCTGGGGTGTGGCTGGGAAGTGCATTAAGCTTCCCCACGACAGGCAAAAACCAGGTAAGACAGAAACAGGCGTTGGAGATCCCTGGGGAATAGGCACAGATGAGTTTCCCAGTCAGCAGCTCTCTGGTCGGTGGCTCCCCATTAATGCTCAACTGGGCCCTCCAGAGGACGTGGAGTGTGTGGCCTTAGCCATAACCTGTGTCCCCTGAGACTGGTGGGGGGGATTAGGGAGGTGGTCTGAGCCCCAGTACAGGAATCACGCTCTCCCTCTCCTCTGAGCTTTTACGGCTACTGTTCCCTTTGACTATGACACCCTTCCACTCCCCTTGCCTTGCTAACTCCCCCTCATCCTTCAGCTTCTGGCATAGATGACCCTCCTCCTGGGAGCCTTCCCTGACAGCCCCACCCAGCCTCTCTTCTACAGTTCCCTGGGCTCAACGATAACAATTGCTCACAATTAATGAGCACCTGTGATGGGCCAGGCGCTGCTCTAAGCACTGGACATGATTAACTCATTGAGACCCACAATCCTATGAGGGGGGCACTGTTATTATCCCCAGGTCACAGATGAGGAAGCCGACGTCTGGAGAGATCAAGTCAGTTGCTCAGGTCACACAGCCAGGACTCCAGCCCCGCAGTCTGACTCCAGAGGCTGAGTTCTCTGCTGACTCTACTGTTTTTTTGATGAATGTATGAATGAATGAATGAATGAAGCCCTAGGGCAGGGGACAGCAGGGCCCCACTCCGCTTAGAGCCCCTTCAATCTGGTCCACATCTGCGATGGAGTTGCCCAGGAGGGGCCTTCCATGGGCGCACATCTGGCCGGGCTCAGCGGGGAATGAGCCACGGAGAGACAGTGGCTGGGGGGCGGGTGTGGCGGGGGCCGGGCAAGGGGGGAACACTGGCCTTGAGAGCGGGGCTGAGGGGTCCCACTGTTCCCAGGGGCCCGGGAGTCTGCCAGGGCCTGAACAGGCCCCCACTGTCCCAGGGCTTGTAAAACCGCACAGCTGCCCTCAGCCCGGGAGTCTGTCCGGGGCCAGGCCCGCTGTCGCTGCGAAGGGGGAGCGAGAGAGTAGGCAAACCCCCCCCAGACATGGGATCCAGCTCAGGGAGGTGTGGGGGCTTCTGGAAGTGTGGTGTTGGGGTGCTAGAGAGCCCCCTTCCCCAGGCCCTGCCCTGCTCTGATCAGCCCGATGGGCAGGGCATTGCCGGCTTGGGTCCCGTCCAGGGGGAGAGTGGGAAGGGCAGAACTCAGGTCTCCTGGGCCACTCTGGCCTGGGCATGTCGAATTTAACCCTCTCGTGGCCTTTAGTGGGGTTTGGGCCTTGGCTTGAGACCGCCTGGGTCAATGCCAGCTCCATCCTTTCCTAGCTGTGTGGCCCCGGGCCCGTGGCCTCACTTCTCTGGGCCTCCATTTCCATGTGTGTAAAGAGCGGATGATCCTGCCCACCGGTGGGGGGTCTCCACCTTGCACATTGGGATCACCTGGGAGCTTTTAAAAATCCTGACTCCTGAGCCCCACCCAGACCAATTAAATCAGAGGGTCTGAGGGTGCTGCCGCGCATCGTCACTGCCAAGATGCGAAGTCCAAGAGGAGAGGGTCCTTGGGTCTGTCCACCACTGTCTTCTCTCCAGCAATCGGCACAGGGCCTGGCACACAGCAGGTGTCCCCTGTGTTTGCGTGCAAGGCTGAAGGAAGACACATGTGCCAGACCACCCATAACCACGTCTGACCCTCACCACAGTCGCTGCAGAGAGATGAGCAATATCATTGCCCCCATTTTACAGATAAGGAAACCGAGGCTCAGAGGGGTGCAGTGACTTGCCCCAGGTCACACACCCGGGTACCGCTGGGATTGGAACCCAGGTCTATCTGGCTTTTGATTTTAGATCTTGTCTGTGGTCCAAATGCCGGGCCTTTCTGCTCTCGGTGGCGGGGTGGGGCACGTGCATTTTGCATCCACTGCATTTCATCGTGGGTCTCATTTCCCGTTTCAACCCCTCCCAGACCCCCAGGGTGTTGACAGCGACTGCCCGGCCCCGTGGGTCCGGCCTGTCTGGGTCCTGTTCATAGAGGGTTGGAACCATCGAGTCTGCCCCGGCGGGGATTGATGAGGTGTACCAGTACCGGGTCACAGACCCTTTGTTTTCCAACCACAGTTATTGACTAAGTACCCATTATGTGCCAGGTATGGGGCACGTAATAGCCAAATGTGCTAAGGGTGCTAACAGCATTAGCAGAACAGCTGTGAGACTACAGTCTAGTGGGGGAGATGGAAATTAATCAAAGAATCATCCAGACACAACCACGATGATTAATAGCAGGAATAGCTGCCATTTATAAATGCGCGTCTATTATGCGTGCAGGTGCCTCATGGACATGACTTTTTCCAGCTTTACTGAGGTGTAATTAACACCCAATAAAATGCACGTATTTAACGTGTACAGTTTGATCATTTTGACGTGTGTTACTCATAAAGCCATCACCAATCAAGATCATGAACGTGTCGTCACCTCTGAAAGCTTCTTCATGCCCCAGTGTTACCGCTCCTGACTGCTCCTCTCCATCTTCTGCCCCTGACCCCCAGGCAACTCTTCATCTGTCGCTATGATTCATTTTTATTTTCTGGAATTTTATATAAATGGAACCACACAGTATGTATTCTTTTTTGTCTGGCTTCTTACACTCAGCATCAATATTTTGAGATTTATTCATGTTATTGTTTCTATCAATATTTCACTTCTTTTTATTGTTGAGTAGTATTTCCTTGTATGGATGGACCACAATTTGTTTACTTGTTTACCTGCTGGTGGACATTTGGGTGGTTTCCAGTTTTTGCCTATTACAATTAAAGCTGCTACGAACTACTGATGTTATTTTATTTCTTCTTCACAACCGTCTTGTGAGATGGTTGTTATTTCTCCCCATTTTACAGATGAGAAAAATGGGGACTCAGAGAGGTCAAGTCACTTGTCCAAGGTCACACAGCCAGTTGTTGGAGCACAGAACCTGAAACAGTGGGAATGTTTGAGC